AAATAAAATAAATATGCTTTAAATACTTTTAAATATGTGTATTCCGCATTTTCTTTCAGTTTATTTAATTCATATTTAAAATTCATAGAATTCACCTCAAAATTCTTGTAAATTCTTTAGCTGGAATTTGTACACAGGCGGCATTTTTCACTGTAAGCTTCTCTTCTCGACAAGTGAAATGTTTGCGATATCTGTACAATTTTAAAGCCATTTGTGGTGCATATAGAAGGGACTATCAAAATAATATGCACAAATCTGTGGCTTTGCAGTACATCGTTGAAAATAATTCAAAATGCTAATGCAATTTCATGCGCTCGCAAACAAATTTGATAAGCTCGCTCGCCGCTCAATTGCAAACTATTTAGTTTTAGCTAAATTCCACGAAATTCGCCTTTCAACATAAATTTGCACAGTTTTATGTAATGCTATTTAAGCACTTTATGGTTGTGCGGCATTAAAACTAAATTGCTGCAGCATAGTGTTTAAAGGCATCCGCTTGACACGGCATTTTTCAGGGGCAGGCGGCAGCCGGCTTGGCGCTATGCCAATGTGCCGGAACGGCTTATGCTAATGCACATCACGTATACGACGCGTGTGTCGCAAATAATGCACAAGAGCTACTGCGGCTGCTGCGGCCTCAGCAGCTACTGCAACTTCAAAATGCGCTGCTGTGGATAAACTTTCGGTTCAAATGCGGCTGCTCAAATTTGTTGTAATTGCATTGTGGCTGGTAGTGGGTCGGTGGTGGGTGGTGTTTGGTGCAGGGATCAGGGATCAGGCCTTTGCTGGCCGTTTCGGTGGYTTGGCTTGGCTTTTTCACTTAACTTTTCCGGGCCCAGCACTAAGGTGCATATTTTTGTTTACGCTCTCTGCGGTGCCATTAACTGCAGTCAGCTTACGTGAGCAGGCAAAAACGAGCCAGCCGTCAGCCCCTCAGACAGACACGGACAATTTTAAGTATTTTTTGGTTTGTTAAAAACAAAATAAAAAGGAATTATCTTTATTTTTTGAAGCTCTTTGCACCTTTAAGCAGCGGTAAATTAAATAAGATAACAGCAACTAAAAACCATTGCTTAAACTTGAATTGGTCTTGCCTGATGATTAACTAGACGTATACTTAATATCTTATATAATTTTAGTTTGCTGCATTCTAGCTGGTATCTTAGCTTACTAATCAACATTCCTAGACTTAACTCATTGCAATTTGAACAATCTGCGCACCAGCAGCCAAATAAAGTTATTTCAATTACAACTCTTATGCAATTATTTAGCTCTTGTGCGCATATATTTCTAGCTAATATAATTTTTAATTTACAAATACAAAACAAAAACAGAACTTTATCAACTATTTTTCTGACTTTCTTTTTTCCATTCCCCGCCTAACCCCTTCTATATTGCAACTATCTATGCCTAAACCAACTACTGCAACTACCTAAAAAAAACAACAAACTGTATCTATATATTTACCTTTTACCTCTATGCATATATTTCTACCTATGAACTCTACATATAAATATATTTATATAACTCTATATATATCTACAACAATCAACACTTGTACATTTTTATAATCAACAAAACCTTTGTAAACGACAATCAAAACTACAAAAATATTCAAATACTCTGCACGTGATGTAAATTTTGGCTGCAACAAATGTTACTTTTCCACTTTTCGCAATATGAACAAATCAAAAAAACAAAATCAAAAACTAAAACTAAATCGATTAAAAACTCGACTCTAAAATTGCTGCAAACCAATAAAAAATTAAATATAAAAAATCAATCAATTTTACAATAAATAAAAATAAATGCTGTATATAAAATCGACATCAACTACAACAACATCAACTACTACAACAATCAATATGCACTGCCTACAACAACAACAACAACTACTACTACAACAACAACTAAACAAAAAACACATGTACTCGTATTCCAGGAGGGCATCGATGTAAGTATTTACCATCCACGCCGAACTAAAGCGAAAAACTAAACGTTGTTACCCAACCAAATGGAATACAAAACAAAACCAAAAACAAAACAAAAAAAAAAAACAAAAACAAAAAAAAATACAGCCACCAACAACAAACAACAGTGAACACCCGTAAACATATAAAGCAACAAAATTGGCTTTGGCCAAGCCAAGCATTGAATACTCTTGCAGATAGCAGAGAAAAATATTAATCTATAGAATTGTATACTCTATATTCCCATTCCGAAAGCTTAGATAAATGTGGATGCATTTAATGCAAGTCTATTTGGCTTATTTGCTTAGTTCATGTGCAAACCAGCAAACCTCCATATATTAAATTCACTTTATTAATTTAAGCTTTATGACTCAAAATTATATGAACTTGCATCAACTTAAATGTAATCCCATATTCAAGCTGGTTTAACGCAAAGCAAGTCCATATAGCCTGAATTGATTAAAATAGTTCATCGATATNCTTTACTGATAAGAGAGGGGACAGCGGGCGGATACACAATGTGGCTGAGAGCGAACATTACCTGCTGTTAGTCTGACCACTAATGCTATGAAATTATTATTTATTTTACAGTTTATATATTTTTTGGGGGGATATTGTCTCATGCTTCGTGGTACAATTAGAAAAAAATAACCAAAACTAGAAAAGGCATTGTTTTTTTTTCGTTTTTTTTTTTTTTTTTTTTTTTTTTTTTTCATTTCATTTTGTTTTCTTGACACAAAACTTACGGATCATCTGGCGTCAATTCAGCCGGTTCTCTGGTAAATTGAACGTCAAAGTTTGTTGTCATATAAGGATCGCCAGGATCCAGGCTTGGTATATAAGGCGGTTGTACCTCCTTTTGTGCAATCTTTTCATACACAAAATTATATATAGTAAACACTTAGTATTATAAATGACAGCAAATGGCTCAATATTGATAAATAGTATAACCACAACATTAATTAGCACAGATTTGGAACTTTTAGTAAATTGAGATAAAGTTAATTTATGTTCTGTCTCCAATTTAGCCTATCTTCAAGTTACTATAGAATATATTATAATTATTATTACCGATTTTTTTCAACTTGCGGAAATGCCAATTCAAAAAAAAAAAATATATATTGGGTTTGCCTTTTTCTTATCTTTGTTTCTTACTTTCTTACTATACCATATATATCTGTCTATATACGTTTACGATAACTCTCTAACTCTTTCTTTTTCTCTTTTCTCTTAACAGTTAAATTTTGGGATTTTTTATAACAATTGATCTAAATCTTATGTTTGTAATTGTTTTGTATGATAATTTAGATAGCTCATTAAAGAAATAGAACCATTGGGTTTACAAGCAAAGTCAACTATATTCATTTTATAATTCTTAAAAAATCTAAGAAAAAAAAAAAAAGCCTCAAACAAAAGCTTTCCTCTCCACTTACATTGAAAACATGGTAAGCTCACATGGGAATAATAGAGCCTTCCACTTCAACTAAACAAATATTTAAAATTATTTTCAACACATCAATGGGAGATGTTCAAAAAGGCTAAACAGTTTGAAGCACAACGATTATCATCATTATTACCAACACTGACATCATCATAATAACACACAGTCACACACACACACAAAAACACATAGAGTCCACATAGGTTGGCCTTGGACTTACCATCTCCCAGTCGATGACCTTGAAGAAGGGATGATTTACAATATCCATGAAGGCAGACTCACGATGGCAGCCCAAGCGATCAGCGGGATTCTTGTTGAGGAAACCTTTCAAAACGGAAGCAGCCTTGACGCTCAACGAGCGCGGTATGCGTATGGTCTTCTCCAGAATCACTTGGAACAGATAATCCTCAGTGTTCTACAAATGGCAAACAGAATTTATTAGAGAGAGTTACGTCATGATAAGTCAATGGAACTTACCTGATCTGGATTCTCGGAGGCGCCCGCAATATCGAAGGGACTGCGACCCGCGAGCATCTCATAAAGCAGCACACCTAGCGCCCACCAGTCCACCGAGAAGCCATAGTCCTCGCCGCGCAATATCTCTGGCGCAATATAGTTGGGTGTGCCGCAAAACGTTGAGGTCGTGTCACCGGGACGAATGCCCTCCTTGCACATGCCGTAATCCGTGAGCTTTATGTGGCCCTCATGATCCAGCAGCACATTGTCCAGCTTTAGATCACGATAGATGATGCCCTTCTCGTGCAGAAAGTTTAATGCCAGACTAATCTCGGCAGCGTAGAAGCGGGCATGCTCTTCGGGCAGGCGACGTTGTCGCTGCATGTGGTACATCAAGTCGCCGCCGCGCACAAACTCAATGACAAAGAAGAGGCGCGAGGGTGTCTGGAAGCAAGAGTGCAGACCCACGAGAAACGGATGGTTGGAGGCTGTCTCAAAGACATGCTTCTCCGTTTGCACCCAGTCAATGTCCTCGTCGTCGGTGACCAGCGCCTTCTTGATCACCTTCATCGCATAGATGCGACGCGTACGCCTCAGCTCCACCATCAGCACCTTCGCATAGCTGCCGCGTCCAATTACGCGTATCAGCTCAAAGTCATTCAACGAATACTGACGCTGTGTGGCCGGCTCCATGGAGTCCTCAGGCGGTGGCGGCACCACAATATGCGCATGCTCGTGCGACTCGTACGCATCACCAGTGCCGGCAACCGCCTCGTATGGCAGCGGCGGCAGTGGCACCGGCATCGGATCGTTTGCCTCCTCGGCGCGCTCCTTGACCAGCGGCTCCGGCTGATCGGTGCACTGCTTCTGCACCAGCTTATGGCACTTTTTGTGCACCAACAGCTTGCACTGTATACACTTGAAACCCTGACGACCCAGGCCCCAGATGCGATCCTGGCAATACGCACAGAAGGCACGCTGCAAAAAGGGAATACAAAAATTAATTATTATTTTTTCTTACTATTATGTATAATATATTAAATATGATTGATTATATTATTAAGCAAAATTAAATAAATGTTGTATGGATAAAATAACAATTTTATAAATACTTTAATCTTCTTCACGTAAATAATAAAATTACTAAATTTTGCAAATTATTAAATATGATTTTAGCATTTTTAATAATTTTTTTTTAAGAATTTATGAAACGCATTGAATAAACTTATCTAAATATTTAAATAATAATTTAATTATTTGTAATACTGATTTAAGCATATTTAGTAAATTGCAAGA